GGTCTACATGGGTCGCTTGTCGACCTCCCTCCACAACCGAACGCGGATGAAATGGGGGATGACACGAGCGACGAAGTCGTTCGTTGTCAGGTGAGAGAGGAGGGCGATGTGCTAATCGCGCAGTGGGGCTCAAACCAAGACCCTTCTGTACGTATTTTGCGTAATGACTCGTTGCTCCCCAACTTCCACATTCGTGGCCGGCCATGTATGCGACGCTCCTGGGCAACCCGCAAACCTCTGAGAAGTCGTCCGACGAACACAACTGTCTCCACGAATAGTGCAAGCACAAGTCGTATGCGCATGGACTCTGGCATACCCAGTCGGCATTTGGACGAACGGACCGTGGCCATAGATGATATCCCGTTTGTAGATGCGTGTGGTGTCTGCGGCGGTAATACCATGGTAAGTAGGGGGACCATCTTCAAATGCGTCTGGTGCCAACGCAAGTTCCACGAACTTTGTGTCGAAAACCCACAGGTCTGTGATAGGTGGCTATGCACCTTTTGCACCGCCCTAACGGGTGGATGTGAGTGAGGCTGTGAAAAATCTAGTGGCTGTGATCTTATTTTATTGTGCTTTTCGAGATAGAGCAGTTATTTAGCGTTCTGTGATATCTCAGTACGGCTGTGATCTGCGACTGTGATAGTATCATAGTCTTCTAGATTTTATTTTGCTTCGCAATTTTTGCGCAAGTTAGCGTTCTGTGATATCTTAGTGCGGCTGTGACCTCTTACGTGACTGTGATAGTATTTGAGTTTTTTGATTATATTTTAATTTGTAACTTTGCGTAAGCTGTGCGTAAGTTATGAGCAACAGACCCTGTCACACCCTTTCAACAAACGCGTAACACGGCAATGCATTACCCCGGCCAAGGCGAGCCCATATTCATGAAAGGTGCCAAGACCCACCAGCACAGGTAAGAATGCACTATAATTCTTTACTGTATGTTGACATTCAGTTCTTTTAGTTCAAAAAAGAGAGCAGTGGAGGAGATGAAAACCCCATGGTACGCAGGTTAGTTTAGTCCCGCCAATCGTGTGTCGTAATGCCCGCCCTTTGTAGCTTACCGTCATGTGGATCACCCGAAGAGGAAGCCTTCTCGAAGCCATCGACCGTCGGCGATGCACCCAGCGAAGCGAATCTCAGCATTGTTGAATTTTTTTGTAAATAAAGGCATTACTCTATTGCCCATATACAGTTGAGGTGTTCTAGTAAATGTTATCGTAAAGGGCCGACGGGCATCGTGGGACCCTTTTGAAAACACTACGGATCATGTCTGGAAGGGTCGCGTCAAATAATACGTCGCTGTGGTCTGCAACAGTTGAAAGGGAAGA